ATCACCATTCACACAAAACGTTTCATGAGTATTAAAAACATCTTCTAAAACAAAAAAGAGAGGAAAGAAAACAAGAGAAAAACATTTTCTACTTCTTATAACTTTCTTAAACTACAATCCCCTCCTTCTACCAAATTACCTGAAATTGTGCTAAATACATAATGGCATTGTTCTTACACTACTAAAACATAAAGAAGCTGGTAATTTGGTATACTGAAGTAATCCAAAAAATTTTAAAACAAATATTATAATAATATGTGGTATACACACAAAATATGTACAAGCTACAAATGAATCTAAATTCTTAGAATACAAAAATATAATTTAAGTGCCAAAACCTGCAACGAAATCATAGAAAAATACTCTAAAAAGTCCACTTATGGAAAAAATTTTTATTTACTTACTTATTTACTAATTTTTTCGAAAAATCAGAACACGGTGTCAGCATGGAAAGACTGGTTCACTCCTGCAAAGCCTGAAAGAGTCATGCAGGGCAGGCTGAAGCCAGGAAGCAGGAACTCTGTGGGTGGCAAGAACCCAAGTACCTGGGTCACTGCCTCCCAGATGTCCTGGGCAGCTGGGACTCCAACCTGGCCTGCCAATCTTGGGTGCAAGCTTCCCTAGCAACAGCTTTAACTCTCTGCATCACAACATCTGCCTCTGTCTAATTTTCAGCACTGCTATCCCTCGGCTTTTACAAGAAATGATCAGTGCTATACCTGTTTTTTGCCCCCCCCCAAATCCTCAAAGTTTGGCACATTAAGTGTATGTGTGTGCATGCACATGGATTCATATCTAAGTCTCCTTTAGATGCACGGTGAGCGCTCATTTACAGGCATGTTAGACATGACCCTTTTCTAAGCAATCTTTTGGGATAAGTGATTTACATATTGTATAAGCCAAATCATAATACATTGGATTTTCTTTAAAAAAAAAAAGGCATACCAAAAATGATAAAACAACATTATCTAATGTTATACATTGATTATCATAGTTCAGCCTTTTTTCTTAATTCCCAGGCTTTACAGAATAGTTCCACTCTCAACAATACTTTTTTACAAAATCCTGATATCCTTGACAATGACCACAGTTTTCAGCACCTGTGCTGACTGGAAATACTTTTGTTAGGCAGATACCAGGATGACAAACTGCTATTTTATATCTTCTTCATTTTAGTCTTCCTACCTTCCCACCCCAGAGGTTGCAGATTTTTATCCGCAAAGCGATTATGGTCTAGGACTGAATCAGATTTGTGACAAATGTCCACTGGGACCCTTCGACCTATCATCGACGGCAGAGCCAATATATGTCTTCTCGCTCACTAAACCTTTCGCTTCACCTCAGGGACTGCTCCCAACGCTATATGGTTAGAAGTCTTCTTTCACAAACAATGAAAATGAATGAAAAACTAGTTCCGAATAGAAAAATGGAAACCCAGGTCATTCTATGGCATAGAAAGCCTGTCCTACATCTACTCCCTTAGTGATCAAATGTTTCAACATGTGTACAATAACAGATTCCTGATTATGGTTTTAACTCTCGCTGTCTTTAATTGTATCTGATTACTGACACGAACCATTCATATTAACATCCCAATATACCCAGCTACATGATAGCACTGAGCTTCTAGCAATGATCTACAATAGTTCAGAACCACCATGATTTGTTTTTATATTTTCTGAACAAAAAATAAAGCGTAAAGCTAATAAGGGAAGCTTCTAACACATATGCTCTCTTCTAAATATTGCTACATCAGAATGAAAACAGCACAACAGTCAGGCAATCACTTATACATAAAATCCAAACTCCTACTCAGTTTCCTGAGAGATCATTTAGCAGGTCAGTTTTATTTTCCTTTTCGCTATTGGTCTTAAAATAAATTGTTCCTCAAAAAAAATTTTTTTAAAGTAAGCGTTTCCCAAAAAAAAAGAGGAAAAAAATTATAAAATCTGACAGTTTTATGCTACAAGGCATAGAAAAAAAAACTGTTACCATTTCTGTTACAATTCTAACCATCAATAAAGCACATTTTTTTTTCAATGTACCACTCAAAAATCAATTATATCAACTCTTTTGTATCGAGAAACAGCACACCTTTCAGGCAACTAATATTAATGAGTAGACACGACTATAGAATCTCCATCTGTTTCTCTGACAAAGCTGTGGCTACTCGAGTCTCTCATTGAAATTCCATTAATCTGGTGGACCAAGGTCCAATGCGAAAATCAAAACTCCATCCACCCCTTTATCAGCTCACAATAACCTACGCGTGAACTCTGCCTGTTAGCATACAGCTAGTTATGATTTTGCTATCAGTCAGGCAGTTGGCCAACAACAACAACAGGGCAGGCTGGAAGCAGCGTGTCTGGCAGAGGCTTGGAGACCTTGTTTTCTGTTTTGCTCCCCATCCGACGTCTATAGGGTGTCTGGGCCTTGTGAGAGCATGCATTATTCTCCTTGGCTGTGATTTAATTGCTACCAGCAATCAAGTGGAAGCCTCACTGAAGTGTGCTTGAATTTCATTAGAAGATATAACTTATGCTACTTTCCTACAGTACCTAATAAACCATAAAGAAACCAAAACACATATGGCTTGAGGGAATAACTGGAAAATTAGGTGGCCATTTGGGAACTGGGTGAACTTTTGAACCAGGGAATGGAGAATAAGAAATATTGAAGGGAAAGACAGACTTAGAATGCACACAGAGATGTGCAAGTTTGACCTTTTCAATACCTAGAAAATTACATTAGCATTATGAAAAATACATACCATGTTTAGAATTTATAATCCATCAAAGTTCAGATACTTTGTTAGTACCTACCATAAGGTAAAAGTCAAAAAGACAAAACAACAATCTGATTTAATAAAAATGCTTTTGGTGACTGTATTAAGTTGGTTATGCTTACTGTTAAATGCTTTATTCTTTTTATAATTAGCACATCATTAGTCTGAGGTCACATATTAAAGGAAAAACTTATCCAGCCAAGAAGAAAACACACACAAATTTTAAGTTATGGATGTGATGACTTGATAGGTATTACAGAAATTAAAAGTTCAGGTGAAAGTTTACAGATCGATTTATAATATTCTTAACAGAACATGTAAAACTAACAAAATAATGTGATCTATATATCAAAAATGAATAACCTAAAATTTTCTTAAATACTAACAGTTTGATTGGTTTTCAATCAAAAATTGATGTTATACATGTTATTTAATACTCAAATCATGATAAAGTAATCTTTCAATAACAAACCTTTTTTATAATATCATTGTATATCCTAAATTCTGGTGATGAAAATGGTTGATAAACCATTTACTCTGAACAAAGAAAGCACAATAATCATATCAATGCATGATTAACAGCAAGTCATGTTTTCTCACAAATTACTAGAGGGCTTCGCGCCCCTCTAGATAATTAAATAGAGAATTATTTCTAAGGGTAGAGTTTCTTAAAGAATGTACATAATGCTACCCTGAGCATAAAAACACTTGCTACTTAGAGAAACACCCAGTTTCTGTGTATGAATATATATACATTCTCTGAGTATATACTGTGTGTGTGCTTATATTCTGTGGAGTATAAATATTCTCTCTGCATACGAGTATACACACACACATTCATTCACATCTCACCAACCTTCTACAGAGAAGCAAAATCATGACGTATTTGAAAAATAGTAAAACTTAAATAATAAGTCTTTGTTTTGCCTGAAAATACTATTTCATTAATTGTGAAACCTTTTCTAATAAAAATGCTTTTCAAGATGAGGTTAGATGGGATGATGCTCCGGTTTTGGATAAAAGGTGTGAGGGAGAAGAAACGTGCACCTCTTTAAAAGACAGAAAGGGAATGGAAGAGAAAAGAAGAGCCGTCCTTTAAAAACAGAAATTAAATATTTGCCAAGGTGTAAAACTTAACATAAAATGGATATGATTATTATTACTACACATTGTACAAAGTTTTAGATGTAGAAAAAGGGATTGTTTTGTTCTGAATCAGTGGTTAGAATGTTTATCACTTATGCATGTACTTGACTTATCCCTGTTCTGCAATAGACATAATTTTATACCTCATAAAAGCAATTTATGTTTCCAAGGGGAATAATCTGGATAACATAAAATGTGGAGTGCTCTGTTGCAGGAAGCATATTTTCATTCAGCAATTGTATTTAGAGATGGAACTGCACAGTTTGATCATCGTGTCGTGGCAGAAGGCATTACTCACTTCTGTGTCTATGCGAAACTTTCAGTGCCACAAATTAATATGCATGGCTAATTTATTGACATACATTCTTAATTTATAACTATGTGTCACCCTTGTAACATTTCTGCAATACAGCTGTATTCAACCGGCTATGACAGAGAAAGTACATGCGTGGCTAAAAATAAGTTTCACAACTTCGACAACGCTCAATAGTCTCTAGAAATTACTAAGAGACAACCAATCAACTTTTGCCGCTAATTAATACAAAACACAATAATCCCACTGCATAGTGCAGGGCATCTTTAAGTGACAATCAGAAAAATGAAAATGTGTATCAAAAGAAGCGTTTGATAAAATCCTGTCTCAATGTGAAAAGGCAATGTGGCAATAATTAATTTAATATTTTATGAACTCATTTTCTAGGAAGTTTTCAGGAAAAAAAATAGATCAAAACCCTTTTTCATTATTTATAAGATAAATAATACAGCAAGCCCATTAAGATGCACAATAAAATTAAGCAAGAATCTGATCATATTAAATTAACCAACAAACTGTCACTAATACTATTCAAAGAATGAGACAAGTCTTCTCCTAAAAATTCTAGTCAAGAATTACTAAAGAAGCAACTACATACTTAGGAAAGCCTCGCTGGAACCACTAGAGAGAGCTCTTCTGCTCTTCAGCCAGGGCCAGGAAAGGTGGGCTCTCCCAAGCCGTGCAGTGACCCACTCCCAGATAAAGACCACCGAGTGTGAGGATCAGGGATCGCGGCCCAGGGGAAATGTCACCTACCATCGGAGGGGCCTTCGTCATCCTTATCGCATCGCTCCGAGGCTAAGGACACGGTGTCCAGAGGCCCAGTGAACGGGTCGTCGTATTCATCCCCGTCTTCCGCATCACCTGTAGAAGAATCACAGAAACCTTTCATTCCTAAGAACATAATTACTTTGTCAGAAAGGTAACTTGCAAACTGAATCACAGCCATGGGGGGGAAAAATGACAACCTTTCAAACTAGGCAAAAGCAGGTCCCATCTCAGCTTATATTCACTCTCATGGAATACGGTTTTTGAGGGTCAGAATACAACTACAACACAAAAGAAGGCAGTCTCAGATTTACGGTGGTCCCTAAGGAAGAGTTCAGAAAGCAGAAACAGTCTAAAACTGTGTGCGTCTCTAAAGGAAAAAACACAAAATAAAAATTAAAATATTTATTAATGCTCTAGTAATAAAGTGGAAAGTACAACAGAAAATGATTCAAATAATTTCATTTTTTTAATAATTTGAAAACTGATGAGAAACTGAAATCATATGAATATTTCATTGATTAAAAACTATCATTTTTTAAAAATCACAGGATTACATCAGAATAGATCTAAAATTGTTGCATTTTTTTTTACAGGAATCCTCTGTGCAGAAAAACTCAAAATTCCTTATGATCCTTTTAAATTCAAGCCAGGTGATTTACACACCAAGCACTACTTTCTGGCCAGTCTCCTACTTGATTTAAAAAGGCTTGGTTGGTTTGATGGCCTATTTTCATTGGCTTATTTTAGGTCATTTCATTCCCCACTACAACATCTTACGGTTTGGGGGTTTTTTCCATATATTCAGATAAATAACTAAACATACTTATTTGAGAGACAAAAAGAGGAAAGAGCTCCCATCTTTTGGTTCTCTCCCTTAAATGACCACAAGGGTTGGAGCCGAGCAAAGACCAAATCCAGGAACTCGCTAACCCGCACAGGTGGCAGTGACCCAACTGTTTGAGTTAGCACTGCTGCCTCTCAGAATTTGCTTTAGCAAGAAGCTAGAGGCACGGGCCAGAGCCAGGGCTCACACCTAGAGACTTCAACATGGGACAGAGGTGTTTCAACTCAGCAAACACCTGCCCCAACAACTTTTTGAGAAACCACTGAGGGACTACTCCACTCCCAGTACAGCTCCCTGCTAAGGTACCTGGGTAAGCAGTGAAAGATGGTCCAAGTGGTCAGGGCACCTGCATCCACATGACACCAAAAAGAAACTCTCGGCTTCGGCCCGGCCCAACCACAACCATTGAGGCCATTTGGAGCATGAACCAGCAGAGAGATTAATTCTCTCTCTTTCCTCTCCCTCCTATCTGTAACTTTGCCTTTTAAAACAATAAAAAGTAAATCTTTAAAAAAAAACAAAACAAAACAAAACAAAAACTCCTCACCTTGAAGGCACTGGGATCCCATATGGGTGCCAGTTCTAATCCCAACAGCCCCACTTCCCAACCAGCTCCCTGTTTGTGACCTGGGAAAGCAGTTGAGGATGACCCAAGGACTTGGTATCCTGCACCTGCGTGGGAGACCTGGAGGAGGCTACCACCGGCTCCTGGCTTCGGATCGGCACAGCTCCAGCTACTGCGGCCACATGGGGAGAGGATCTTCCTCTCTGTCTCTCCTCCTCTATGAATATGTGATTTTTCATTACAAATTATATATTTAAAAACCCATTGAATCACATTTCTTGTTAGCCTGTTGCACACAAGTACAATCTGTTATTACCCAGATTAAATACACCAAAAAAAATGCATGTTTCATACCATATAAAGTATCAAATTGCTGACAATTCAAGAGAAAAGCAGACACCTCAAGAGTTAACCAAAACATGTGGCAAAAATTCCCACCTCAGAAAGTGCATCACATTACTTTTGGACACAGTTCTTGGCAAATCCAAGTTAAAGTTTCTAGGTTCTCCAAAAAGACACCTTCTAACACCCTCCTGGTGGGTGTCATCTTACATTTCACCATATTTTAATACAGGAGATAGTCTCTTTTAATGCAATACTATTAAAATAATTTTAAAAGTTCTCATTTCTGCTACTTTAAATTTTGCCATTTCATGAGCTGCTGTCACCTTATTCCAACAAAAAATGAGGACATCTCATAGTAACACAATCAGAACAGAGATAACACTGAAATTCGCACTTTAAATTCCAAGGAACACATACAGACACGACACCTTCTCCAGATCTTAATTTGTCCTTCTTTAGAGATGTCCAAAGTATTATTTGTGAGAGGAAAAGAGACCTGGGCAAGAAAAAGAGACAGAGAGCTCTCTTCTGCCAGTTCACTTCGCCAATGTCCACACGATCACATGGCCAAGGCTGGGAGCTGAGAACTCAACATAGGTCCCCCACATGGGTGGCGGCATCCGGATACTCCATCCATGACCTGCTGCCTAACAGGACTGGCACAGCTGGGAAGCTAGCAGTAGTAGCTGAAGCCAGGGACTGAATCCAGGTACTTCAATACGGGACCATGGGCATTTTAACCTCTAGACTATATGCCCATATGCCCAAAATACTCCTTAGAACATCCAGTGATCCCTTACAATGCTCTTAGAAAAAAAAGCATGCACTGATTTGTGATAAAAGAAGGAACCCCACAAATACCAGTAAAAATATTGTGAAGACATTACAGCAGTTCGTAGATTACATAGTAGAGATCAAAAAATTCTCTGTTACTCTTAGTTCATAGGATGTTCTAATATTCTCAATGAAGTAAGAATTTCTATGGAGTGAAATTTCTGAGGCATTTCATATCACATACTAATAAAGCAATCTTGCTATGGAAAAAAGTATGAGAATACTTCAAATTCCCAGAACCTAACACAGTTTATTTTATTATTTTGACTATAAACAACAGTAAAACTAACGGAATAATAAAACGATTTGGAAACAATTTGGATAGACAAGGTTAAATCTATCTAAAACTATATGGAAATATAATTAAGAAAAAATTAAGAAAAAATTAAGCGTAAATATTTTGAAAATCAGAAGTGATTTGTTATCATTTGATAATTTCTATTATACATTTTCTGGAAGTATATATTAGCATATACACACATGCCCACAGATGCCCATACCAACAGAATACATGTTAGTATATTACATAGCAAGAAAGTTTGCTATGAAAGCTTTAAACTCAATAATATTTAATCAGAGTTTAAAATATGCTACATAAAATGGTTATTAGCATGTTGAATAAATCTGTAAAAAATATTTTTGGGTTATATATTATTATAGTGAAATTGTCTTCAACTTAACCATGCTAAGAAATGTTGCTAACTGCAAGTGTTGTTTTTAAAAGTTGGTACAATGTGTGTATGTATCTAGGATTGCTACTCCCCACAGACCCCACCACCACCCACCGCCTCCAAGCATGCTTTGAGAGAAGTCAGAAGTAAAGAGCACGTGGTACCTGGGCAGATAGGCCCCTCTAACTGCAGCCAGTGGAAAGGTCTCACTGTCTTTCAGCATGGTCTACTTCATCCTGCTATTCAGTGAGGGCACCCCCACTTCCCCTCCCTAATTTGGTTTTTACAAGCTGCTCAGAAGGAACTTCAACCGAACACAGGGGTCGCTGTTGAGTAGTGCAAAGCTTTTTTTTTTCTTCCCCAGGGACTGAGTATTTGCAGTTCTACCTGCAAAGACTTGTATAAATTAAAAGGCAAATGTTCAACTTGTGTTTATGTAATAGAAAACTGAACTCCAAATCAACAATGGGTGTCAGGTAAATGTATCCAATACAATTTACAGACATAATTGAAAGCATTACAGACTAATCAGACATCTAAGAGAAAAGCATGCTCAAATGAAATGTCTTCAGAATCATTAGTTGGCAGCCGTTCTATTACAATCACACATAATGTCAGCAAGTGCCTTGAGCCTGTGCCAATGACAACAGCATAAATTTTGCATCTCATTTCTGTGGTCATAAAATTAATGATCAGTTTAAAAATACTTCTTTGTAAAAGTTATTGCACAAAGAGAAGACATGAATGTGTCCCTGTTATGTACTCACAAGGATAATTACGGGGTTGTTGCTCGTTAATACGGCTTCTTGTTTCCCTAGAAATGCATTTGATTTATCCTGCAACTTTCAGAAGTTTAATTAATGATACAAAGTTAACGGTGTAAAAGACAATGATCCAAGGCTTCCTTCCTCTGGGTTCAGTGGCAACTTAAATATCACAATAAAATCAAGACATGAGTGGACCTCAGCAGCGTGTTTTTCTGGAACTATTTGTAAGGTTATAATATTGGGTTCAAGTAACTGCAAGCCATCCTTTCCTTTTATGGAACTCATCATTAATTAGCCTTTGCTGAAATGCCTGGAGATAGGGTCCAGGAGCAACTGAGCAGTCCTGATCACCACAACCAGTTAAGGTGATTGACTGCTGCTTGCTCCGTCAACTCCAGGCCCATCTTGAACACAGCCAGTTACATGTGGAACTAAATGTTATGTCTACCATTTGGATAACTGGTCCATCTTACACATCATGAAAGATAAATCAGGTGGGAGAAATTTATTCAACTGAGACACACTTGTTTCTAACTCACTATTCAGTTTACACGTCCAGACTAATTTCAGAAGTAATAATACACAGCTACAAATGCAGAATGAAGCATTGAACTTGTCATTTCTTAAGGGAAGTTTAATTCTTCAGATTGTGAAGAATCCAAGGCACCACAAACAGGATTCTCCTCCAAATGTTTCAAAAACAGGAAGACTAACTGATGGCAGAACGACCACAAAGACATTTCTTGCACCGAAGTGAGGCAGAGCTGGGAAAGGAGGCTAGAGCGGCCCACGCACTGCTCCCGGAAGACAATGCTCACCATCTCCAGGGATCTCAAACATGCTTGCCGAGTGTGTGCAAAGCCAGTAGTTGAGGGGAGTGTTAAGAGGAAAAAGTTGCAACTTACTCCCTCAGATTCCACCGTGGAGCTAGCGTTCCAAGGAAAATGTGTACGTGTCTTGTTGGGAGCAATAAAGGAAGGGACATTAAACATCAACCAAATTTGGGAATTCTTTGGTATTCTTTGCGATGCCTTTAGGAGAAACTATAATATATACCATACTGGATCCCTTCTTAATTACCTATCCTGCTGATTCAAACCAACCAACCAAAAAGTAGCAACTGCTCTCATAATAAACTTACCAATGAGAAGATGGGAGGAAGTCATTTTCCAAGTAAATAGATGTATATTTAGTAGTATCAATGGAGAGTTAGGAGCAAAATCCACTAAATATTGGCCAATGTGCTGGTGAGGTAAGCTAATCCTCCATGGGCAGCATCAGCATCCCACGAGGGGCACCAGTTCTAGTTCCAGCTACTTCCCTTTTGATCCAGCTCCTGCTGACAGCCTAGGAGAGCAGTGGAGGATGGGCCAAGGCCTTGGATCCTTGCACCTTGTGGAAAAACAAAAGCTCCTGTCTCCCAGCTTCAGACAGGCCTACCTCAGCCACTGAGGCCATTTGGAAAATGGAAAATGAAGCAGTGGATGGAAAATCTCTCTCTCTCTCTCTCTCTCTCTCTCTCTCTCTCTCTCTGTATTCTGACTTTCAAAAAAATTAATCAATCTTTTTAAAAAACTCACTAAAATTTTCTGCAACTAAAGGATTTTAAAGTAGAAAATGAGTTATATAGATATAGCATCTAAAGCAAAATATTTATATTTTTTAAATGGTAGAAATTAATATCTTACAAGTTTGAAAGATATTCTCTTGAACTATTTGTCATATCGCTTTGCAGACCCTTCTTACAGTAACTGGTAATTCCCAAAAAAAATTATTTAAAAATTCATTATGAAGCAAGATTAACTTAAATCCTCCTGACAAATGAAACTGAAACTCAGAATATGTATTCACAGACTATCGGCTGTACACCTGGTGTATGTCAAACCCCAGTATTTCCTTACTACCTCTTTCAATCATTCAGTCAATAAATAAACCACTTACACTTAAACCATGACTGCAGTAAAATGAGGCTAACATAAGCCCAAGATAGGACTACATACAGTATATCAGTTAAATTGTTATGTACATGTACTTTATGGTAAAAATACTAGCTAATAATCAGTTAATAGCAGTGTTTAATACTGATGCATTCTCATGGCATAAGAAGTGTTTTCAGTCAGTCTTAAGGGACTTAAGGCCTTGTAAAGGGGCAGGAACAAGTCTCCAGTAATCAGAGAATACAGTTCCAGTGCCTGCGGTCACATTCAGCAGGACCCGTTCTAGCACTGGGCTACACTCTAATTAGCTTTAGATCGTTCCTCTGGCTCGTACAACCCTGAAGGATACAAGAAGCCACACTTAGATAAAACAGGCAAGATGGCAGGTGGACCAAGCGAGAAGTGTTCTTGTTAATTAGATTGGAATCTTGCTTATATATAAAAATTAAGAAATATAGACATTCAGCGGATAATGATCCTAAACTGATCATTAGGACTTCGACTTCCAACTGGAAATGCTGCATTGTTAAATCTCAGGATGGGTGAGTATCTATAATGTGAAAGAGAGGAGACGAGAAAGGAGGAGGAAAGGATGCTAGACAACTGTGTACATTAGAGAAATTAGCAACTGACTTGTGAGAAATGACAAATCTGAGTCAACTTGCTGTATTTCTCTCCACTTGATCCTTTTTTTCTCACACCAATGATATTAAAATGGTACTTAACTGTTATTTTTAAAATGAGAATTTGTATAATAAATAGGGGTATAGGCAAGCAGGAAGAAAACAGCTTCTTTTCACTTCATCTGTACCCCATATTCATGAGAGCAAAAGAAAGAAAGAGAGCCAGATGGAAGCAGGGAGATAGGAAAAGGGAATTCTGCCCATATCCCTTTGAAGGAAAACCATCCAAACTCCTGGAGTGAAGTTACAAGTGGTTGGGGCAGCACTACCAAAAGAGAATTAGTGTATTCAATGTAGAAATGCTAATAAATTCCTATTTTTAAGAGGTGTATCTTGAACATTTGCTTTGCAACAAATACGTCTGCCCTCCTTTCTATTCCCAACAAGCACAGACAGAAGAGCTCTTACAACAAAGCTTGGCATAGAATTACAAAGCTTCTCATATTTCTCCAAGGTACACGTCTCATTTATTTACAGGCTAACTAACTTTTGAGCCTGCACTCTTGGTGATTAGCTAACTCAATCCAGCAGCGCTGAACTACAAATGACTTATTTGGAGGAAAATGATTATGGAAAATCTCTGAATTCAACGTTATTTGAACTCTTACTCAAAGATCATTTTTTATTTTCTACCAAACACTATATAAACCTTCATTCTCTTTGGAGACAAAGAATGAATCTCAGTAATGTCATTTTAATATCCACACACCTGAACAAGTGCTAAAACCAAATACCAAGGGGAATGTCTACGCTATTACCAACCAAGTGCAATCATGCAATGACTTCATATTATCATGCTTTTTCAGTGTTAGAAATATTTTTAATGTGCAAATAATTAAGCCACAATGACAGTTCCATAAATAATCACTGGAACAAAAACTTCTTTTCAGAAGAGAGACAGAATCTAATCTCTTATATTATTCCTTAAATACTATGTTATACAAAAGTTATCATAATTAAAACACACAAGGACGAGTTAATTTCTATAATTCCACTAAGCAGAACATGACATGATTACACCCGTAATTCAGGCTGCACTGGGAGAAGCGTCCTGCTCTGCTCTGCTCTTGATTTGATAGTTTAAAAATCTTAAGTGGAATAACATTCTCTTTCAATCACAGTGATCTCAATGATGGAATGTGAAAAGAAACCGTGACTTCCTTTGAACTGATTTTAGGCTTGTCCGCCTAAGTACTTGGTTTTCCGACACTGTCGTTACCCTCTCATTCACAACCAGCACAAGTATGAGCTACTCAGAAGGAGCCAGACTGTTCCCCAAACCCACAGTCAGCTGACTTCAAGCTGTGACCCCTCTCCCAGTCTCCATAAGCTGTAAGTCGTGACCCGTGATTCAGTGTCATGGAGATAACGGCTGTAGCCAGCCTCCCTCCAGAACTGCAGGCAAGAAGCAGCAGGCTCCCTACGCCCTGCCGCTCTGGTGTCCAGCATGCCAAGCAGCCATCTCTCAGCTCTGAGCGAGGTGATCAGGTTACTAGCAGCCTCACATACTTCCAAAACATGGAACCATGTCTATAGCACATATGTCATTCAAATCAAAAGAACCGCAAGAAAACTTGAAAGTACCGTTTGGAAAAGATTTTTCTCATGTTCTCAAGCAAACGTTCATCCTGTTTTTAAAACATCTGTCAAAACTTCACCTGTGAGCACCTAGGCACAGACCCTCATCTCTGTAGGGTCCCAGCTGACCTCTCACCTCTGCTTCGGAGGATTCTACCAGACGTAACTGCAGGTATGTGTACCTTACCCAACACATTTCTGTCATAGCATCTTCCTGGAAACATCCCACCCCAGAATGTTAACTAAGCCTCTGACTCAAGGCTTTGCAGGGTGAGTCTGCCTATGCCTTTTAATTCTTCTCTCAGCAGGGGGAGCTAGCACTCTCATCTTGAAGATCTAACTAACACAGAAATTTAAGGCTTGATTCCAACTATCAAATTTCAGGATATGTTAGATTATGCTACTGAAAATCTCACCAAGGGGGTGAAAAACAAAACTTAAAGCAAACTTGAAAACTTACCTTTGTCCTGAGACTCCTGAAGATAGCTGCAAAATCAGAAATATTATATTTTAAAATGAGTTTGAAAAACCCAATGCAGACCTAACCTAAATTATAAACAGACACTGAGGGCAAAAACCACTCCCTGTCTTAAAACGACAATTCCAAAAGACTTGGCAATTTATAATAAAACTAATTGTAGAGAGTAATCAAATGGGGATCTATATAATATGTTTAATAATTACAACATGAATTGTATTTATTCATTTAAAGTTTTAATAATTAACAGAATTCTCTTGATCAATGTCTTGGTCTTTTCTATATTTATTTTAAAATCCCCAATCTATGTCTGCCTTATCGTTTAAACCAAATACATCTCTCACATACCAAAATAAACAGCAGGATATTGCCAGAATGCTTAGGAAAAATATATAATTAATAACTTTCACAGAAAAGGATATTATAAAAAGGATGTCTGCATTTAAAATCTATTGTAATAAAAATATACTTTTGTCCTTTAAAAATATTTAAAAGCTGACATTTAAAAATAAATACCAATTAACTTAGAACATTAAATTGTAACTTCATGATAACCAATTCCTTGTTGAAATGTTAATTACAAAGTTATTTCTAAGAAAGAAGTTAGTGATAAAAGGCAAGTGACTTACGTAGACTTTACATCTTTTATCTTCTTAATAAGGGAGTCTCTCTTTTCCTTCGCTTTCCTGGATAAATTCTCCCCTTTCAGAGTGTCTGCTACAAATGTTTCAACATCTAAACCATGAAATATAAGAAACAGAATACAAATTATAGGAAAGAACCATTTTTTGTGAAGACAAATAGGACAATGATTGTTTCTACACATAAGTGTTAATATCTGCACGATCTGTTATAGTTATTTATCAATCCAAAGCATAACAGTTGAAGTGTGCTTCAAATACTAAGTTGGACAAATCTATTCACCAGTTAGCTAATAAAATTTGTATGCTCTACTTATGCTTAGCACAGCAAATGCTATTTGGATGTTGGCATCATTAAACTAGGAAGAAGCACACAAGTTTTAATAAACTCAGCTGCCCCCATAAAATAAATTCTCATACAAAAGCAAGCACCATGCTTTAACGCATGTATTGCTATCATTTTGTAGTGTTTTGTTAAGTTCCTGCGTGAACAAGTCATTCACAATATTATATCAATATAAGCTAATGTTCCTAGCAAGGTCTGTTTTTCCAGAGTAATCCATTTTCAGGTATGCATAATGGCTAATGCTTTAAAGGAAAATACAACTCCTTTTCTTTCGAACCAACATTCCCAAATCAAACCCTCCTCCTCACCAACCATCCCTACCATCTGGGCACCCTTAAGCAAAACTGATAACCAACCAGCTATGCCTGAGCCTGCTTCCTTTGTTGGGGTCACCACCTGATATGTTCTTTTAGAAAAACGGATTCCCCCACTGTTTAAAACCATAAAACACAAGAAATAAGATTTCAATCATCTCTTTATAGCATTTCTCCAAGTCTCACTTCTAAAAAAGGTTAGCAAATTTCTAAAGTGCTCAATGTCTGGTTTTCTCTTGAATAAAATCCCAGCAAATCCTTGCTGGATTTAATCTTTATAACAACTGCATTCTTACAGATCATAAAATGCTGTGCAACTTAAATTCACTTTATTTTCAAAATTTCAAAGCTCCTTCTGAAATACCCACTACAGGGGATACCTTTAAGACATGCTCAAACAGGCATGGCTATGGCCATCCACATCTCAGTGAAGAAATGTATGTGTGTTTCACTTTCTTTTTGTTTAACTACTTAGCTCCTGATTCTCACTGATTCAAAGACGGCAAGAACACATAATATTACAAACAAGTAGTAGAATGACCTCTCAACTGTACTGACGATTAATTATTTGAAACCTAGAAAATGGGATAGAATGTTTGGGCTCTATTTATAAAGTGTTCATTACAAAAGCATTTCGACCCAATGAGGCAAGCTGCTAATCCACAATACATATATGTAAAGGTAATTTCTCACCAAGGCAACACAACAAGTAAAAGAATCAAAATTTAATTTGGTTACAATTTTTCTAAGAGTTTCTGGTTTGAGATTTATTCAGAACCAAGTGTTAAAAGTATCACAACGAAATGAAGACCCTATGTCAGGGAGCTTCTTTCCTTAAGTCGCTCTTCTTTCTGAAGAGCAGAACAGGGGACCTAATCCACCATCCAGCGTTCCTCAGTGGGTGCGGAAGAACGAGGCGAAGCAGGGTGCCCATCTCAACCCCGTACATTTGCCGTCTAGGGGAGCAAGTGATCCTTGGACATGAAGGCACTGGCTGAAATGAGGAGGCCCTGTGGCTTCCCTGAGACTAGGAGCGGGCTCCTCGGGCTCCTCGGAGGAAGAGGAAGGCGGGAGGAGGAGCACCCTGGCGCCTGCTGCCTGCTTTCTTCCCCAGGAACCCTGCGCTTGTGGCGCATGGACCAGCAAATGGGCGCCTCCCTGCCATTTGATCTCAACGTTCGCCTTTAATTCTCTCCTCCTGGAGTATTTAATTGCCTATTTTAATTTTCAAGACACAAATCCGAGTTTAACCAAATGGGTTTTATTTTCTATCTCCGGAAACCAATAAATAGCAGGATGAATTACAGCCCACGAGTTATTTTTTTAAAGGTCCTATCAATTCTAGAAAAACTCAGGAAACAAAACAAAACCAAAAAGCTTGCAATGCTCTGCACAGGTGTACTCCGGCTTCCCCAAACTGTTTCTAAAATGCCAATCCATGCCACTGTACTGGAGTAGAACGTTCATGCAAAGTGCGGGGCTGGAGCAAGCAGCGATGCTCTCATCGCTGAGTCGGAGTTCAGGGTTGGTAAGGTAAGGAAACAGAGCTGTACTTTCGGAGTAGTTTTACCCCCAAGCTTTTTTTAGAAGAGAGTTTAAGACAGCTAAAAGAATCTCAAGGACCCGGCTTCTTGGTAACTGTCTCAAGGAGACAGGACAGTAGGTGGGTTTTGCTTTGCTGGGCTTTGCTTTGTCTCGTGTTTTTACCAAGTTGGGAACTTCCAATTGGGTGAGCGGTTCCTGCAACCATCTGTATTCACGTTTAGGCTTTTGAAACTCACTTGTTTCTCAGACTCTGCCTTGAGCCCGTTTCTTTTCCAAAGGCACGGCACCAGCCTCTGGCAGGCGCAGGAGCCTCCGGAAGGCAAAGCAGCAGTCTGGGGTCCTTGCCTGCGCAGAGGCAGAGCGAGCGCCTAAAAGCAGTCATCCCGGCTGTACCCAGGGATGCTCAGCTCCGCCTGGGAGAAAAACTGGAGGGGTAAAAACCCCAGGGTTCCTGAGCGCTCAGCGGTGAGCCAGGAGAGAAGCTTGGGGCCTCGTCCTGTCAAACAAACGGGGTGGGATCTGCAGCATTGTAGCTAAGAGCCAGGGTAATATTTCAAAAACGGGCAATAAAAGTCTTGGGCGAATCAAGCGCTCCTCTGGCTGGGTGGAAGGAGATTTGAAGCTTTGTATTGTGCTCCAAATAGCCCAGCAAACGGTAAGCCAGCAAGCGCGGGAGACCTCTTCTATCTTCCCTTCGGGGTCGTGTCCCTCGGTTAATATGTAGATCTCACTGACTCCCGACTGCCTGTAATTCGGGGAAACGCCGTAATTTGATTACAAGGAAAGGTCAGCCTGCCTCCTTCGCCTTTGGCCTGGTGAGTTACAATCCCTCTTCCCTGACGGAGCGGGTCCCGCTCGCTCCCGCGTGCCCCTCAGAGAGGAGAGAAGCGTGGGGGGACCTAGCCGGGAAGCGGCAGGAAAAGGGGTGCTCTCCATGCAACAGACAGAACTCCCCCACACACATCCCTGTCTCCAAGCCATCCAGCCCTTCATCCTACAGGTCTATTGCCACCTTTCATCCCAGAATGCCTCCCTATATCCATCACCCTCTAACCCCCCAAGTTATTACAGGGAAAAACAAAAAGTCCACCCAGCAAAAACAAACGTGCTGATGATTTTTGCTTTTCTTACACCTTAACACTGTCCAGAATAAGCCTTATCTCCCAGCCTGGTTGTAAGGACGTGGGAGAGAAGACCATGGAAATTAGCGGATTTACAGAGGCTCCTTAGATCATTATGAAGTTCTGAAAGCAACAATGTAAAGATGACATGTTCTGGGTCAGCAATCCTTAGGCCCTTTAAGTTACAAACCTCTTATTCATCATGCAGACCCCTGAGGCGCAAACATTTAACACCCTAAGTCACTGAGTGGTACTCCAGTTTTCCCCTTGGATGGAATTGAGGTGTACACAGAAAGCCAGAGTCACACCCCTGTGTTCAGCTAGAGGCTCAAGTGGTTGGGACAGGCCGTACCCAACACACACCGGCTACTTGCTTTCCACCAACCTCTATACAGATCACATCCTGAAAAGATGTAACCACACAAAGTCAGAACAATGTTTAAATTTCGAAAGACAAAATAACTGTTGGCTTCTTGACACACATCACTGGGGCTTGACATTCTCCCTAACATCCTGGAATACCTATAGTACTTCAGGCTGGAGGTTAGCAACAAGTTAGTAACAGCCACCATCTTCCTGCGTATCTCCCAGCACGCACACACACACATACAGAAAGAGAGAGAGAGAGAGAGAGAGAGAGAGAGAGCGCTTCTGGCCTGAATTACACAGGGGAGGACACAGGAATTGGACTGATTCCACTACCATTTGCTCAGATCCATAAAGTGTAACACCAACCACACAAGATCCCAAATGGGCTTACTACTTAATTCTGTATCTTAATACATATGAACTGGGTCAGATTACACTTTGAACTCACTGGAATGTGCTGATACCAAACTTAATGCAATAAGAATCCCAGCCTAGACTTTAAGCCAAAGTCACATAAAAAGATGCACTTTTCTTCTCTCATGGGGGAATGGTCTGACCAAAAAGCTACTATTGAAAACATAAAAATGAAACTGGGCACATACACATCAGTGGAACCAAATGTCCAAAAATGGAAGATGGCTAACTGAAAAGCTATTGATTGACTGTTGATTTTTCCTTTGATTACCTAGCTCTTTCATAAGTTCTACTTTAAGTGTAGACTTTTCAAACTTGGTGGGAGGAAGGCATGTACAAGCATGGGAGCTCTCACAAGGGGTCAAACCTACCTAGTTCTTCCACCATCTTACAAAATTTTCAAAATTGCCTTTAGAGACTAAGTGATTTATCTGAATAGAACACTGGGCTGTTGAAAGATAAGGCTGAACATCTTTCAACCTCTAAAATATGACTCTTGATAAATAGCATTTTACAATCATCAGAATCTTTTTACCATGCATTTTAAAAGAAGCCACAGTGAATAATACTTTAGTCTGAGATTTACACTATATTCAATGTTCGGCAGCATCTATTGTAATATGTTCAGAATGTGATTGAAAAAGAAATGTAAACTCAATGGAATGAAAAAGATAGACTTGGCTTTAATTGAAAAAGACAAACTAAGTGAATAATGAGTATATAAAACCTAGCTTATGCCATTTTTATCACCCATGTATGACACTTAATCTTAAATTTATGAGAGGCAACTGAACTGTGTTTCAAATCACCAGAGGCTTTTCCTGCTATGTTGTTTCCACTTTGTTTCCAGTCATACTCTAATGCTGATAACAATAAAGATACATTTATTTGGAAATTTTTCCTAGACTCCTCATTTGTTAATATAGACTCTTTTTTTTTAAAGCAAATGATTAATATGATTGAGTACCTTTACAAATCATGCAGAGTGTCAAGTGCCTAGCTTAGTAACCTGAGATGAAAATGCTTCCAATGAAATCCAAAAGAGCTCATCCTAAGCAAAAGTACACTGTGTGTATAAAATAAATAGGCAAATAATTTTCCTGACACAAAATCTTTAATTCATCTATATTATAGGACTCATACAAAAAAAAAACCTATAAATTCCTACTTCCTTGATTCACAGATATTTATTTCCACTTCTAAAAGTGAAAATCTTAGCGGCAGCATAGACTGGCTTCACTTTGAAACTGTTCTTCTATCAACTTTATGCTCATTAGTTGTCACTGCCAAAAGGAGGTAGGCTTGTTCCTGATCTGTACAAAAAAAAAATCTAGGTGCTGGAAGAACCAGAGGACTATTTGTGACTCAGTAGGTGGCACTCTTCCCTTTACATACTCAGCGATGCCCCAGGAGGAAGCTATGGCACCATTAATAATTCTCTAAAACCAAAATGTGGACCAACTTGTAAATGGAACTGTGCAAAGGTAGAAATCAAACCATACTATATTCAGCATCAAAAAAAAAAAAGTGGCCCCTCTTTCAACTGAACTGTCTTCTTTACCTAGTGCCCTAGAGGGATCATCAATTATAACATACAAAGGTTAAAAAAAAAAAGTGGAAATGCCCAAAAGGAGAAAACACAATATTTCTAATCAAGACTGCCACACAAGCCAAATCTCAGGGTCACTCTGTGTAACCAGATAACTACTTTGTTAACCATTTGTTGGCTGGGTTCTGTTGTGATTTTTTAGGGTACTGAGAATCTTAACAAAATCTTCTTTCAATATTGGTTTCATTTTCTAATTTAATAATAATAACAAAGACAAGAACATCTTGCAGCTTTCAAATTTGTTGTGCTAAGTGAAAATGAGAATGAAACAGAATATTTGATTGCAAACTGTTAAAAAGCTAGTAAAAGGTAATTAAACATAGGGAAGCAAGTAATTCTAATTCCTCTCACTTATTCTCCAAGAGAGTCTTAGACAAAATATGAATGGGAGGGTGGACTAGATGGATAGGATTTGGGGGTATCTTTTGAATTACATTGTTCAGGTGAAACTTCTTCTCCCACCATTTGAAAGAAAACAATAGCAACAACAACAAAAATCAAGTGTTGCCTGTAATGTATATGGCATTTAAAATTTGCTGTAACCTTTTTTGATGAAACCAAAAGAGTAACTTTTTTTTTTACTTTTGACTACAAGTATAAGCCCTTAAGATTTAACATACTGACGCTATAGAAAATACTGCAAACTACAGAGCCAGCAGTTCAAAGAGGAGCTACTGCATTTTCTGCATTTTCATAAACAGCTTTTTAAAGGAGAAGGAACCGGAGGGGCAAATACTGAAACATTAACCTGAAACTGCCACAATCAGCAAGAGAAAGAAAAACCATCAGGCTGGTTTGGGGCACTTGCTCCTGTCTCACGGTGGAAAAGTCCAACTTCCACACCACACAGGACACTGCGCCACAAGTGATGAGCCGGGTAAAAGGTACAGTAACACGAACGGCAATGTTCTCTCTGAATATTGGATTCCTTTTTCTTCAAAGCAAAGGATTTTAAACTCCTTCACGTTTTCCTTCCTCGTTTTTACCTTGGAATTCTAACGCAGAACCAGGCACTCTAACGTAGTGGTGAACTACAATCACCACTAGCATTATTTCCTTCTTGGCTTCAAAGTCCTAAGCAGGCCAGCTACATCCCTAACTCACTCCATAATTTTGGATTACCCAATACAATTGAATCATGCAAATCATGCAGGATCCCAACATGGTTTTTGGATAAAATATGTGAAGTAACTATTAAGAGCATCTATCCTTAAAACCTTCTCTACCTCAAAAAAATCGAATTACCGTCAAACATAAAATGTTCGCACTTCTCCTTGAATAGATTTCAAAAACTTGAAAAACTCTGGCTAATGTTTAATTTCTTCAAATGTACATATGATCCCCAACTTAAATCATACTTCTTGAAAATTAAGTATAACTTTGAGTATTAAGTATAACTCAAATTTATGAGCCCCAATGTATGAATGGTTTAATATTTGATTCTAAGACTTTCTGAATTTTATTATGTAATTTTTTAATCACTATGAAATAATGAAAATGTCAATAACATATATTTCAAACAGCTAATCAGACATTATGGTAACATATAATCTGACTAAAGCAAGATGACAGATATTTACAGAAAGTAAGTCCTGGCAGATCATTTAAATGTGTAATTCAGAATTTCTTAATTACACACTTGCGGCCACATGAAGCACCTGTGATCTGTGGGGACTGAGGAAAAAAGAGCCCACAGCACGCACCACATGTACACACTAGCTGGGAATGGTTAGCTATGGATGTGAACTAAGCATGTCTGCCGTGGAGGCTGTGAGGCATTAAAAGCATGCAATCAGAACTTGCATTATTGTTCCTTAAATGCAACATCACACACCCAGAATATCCTGAAAATGGTGCTATTTATTTTTAGGACAATGATAAGCATTTCTTTAGATTGGTTATTAAAATAATATCCTAAAGAATCAATTTCAGAGTTGTGGCATCAAAACTGTTAACTGCAGTACAAACAAAATTAGCAGTGGGAGCTTCTCAAGATGGAGTACACGCAGCCTTAAGCCAGCCCTTATGGCCTTGCCAGTCTGTCCGTCAGGGGTGCCCACTAATGACAAGCGTTCCCTGGGGTCAGCTCCACCACTGAGGTCTCACCCTCGCATCCTGTTCATACCATCACACGTCTGCACTCACACACTTAAATGTTTTAATCTATTTATGAGGTTAACACCCAAAACACTCCAGCAGCCTGTTAGCTTCGATCACACACTACTACAGCACTTAACTACCTCCAACGTTATGTTTCAGATGATACTGGGATTCTTAGAGTGAAAACAAGTAACTGGTAACACAAGCATTTCAGAGGAATTCTTTTCCGAATTATCAATACTGAAAGAGAAGTATTTTAGAGGCAATTAAAACAAAAGCAATCAAGTTACTTTCCAGAATATCTGCCATATACGACACAAAGATGTCAAGAACCGCACAGCATCAGGGTAGGCGAGATGTATTCTGCACTCAAAGCGTCCCTTTCCGCCCATGTGCAGAAACACACCATCGGCCCTTCCAGAAAAAGCACCTCCACATCCAGGATTTTTACGAACTCATGACACTGAGGAACCACATTGAACTCCCAGAGTAGGTTCCTGTAAATGGTCTTGTAAAGTTGAAAAGGGGAAGATGAGGGTGCAAAGTTGAGGTACTTTCATCACGCGACACAGGAAGCAGAGACTTTTAACACATCCTTCCTACTTCGCTTAAATGTGTCACTGGGGCTGAAGCCAAGTGGCCATTTGAGAGCCAGGCCCACTTTCAAAGTATCCAGTGGCAAGAGGAGACTCAGTGTCCAAGAAAAGTATTGGTTTCCACCCCTTCATCCCAACACTTGTGGCTCTAACATCTTGCTTGCCCGTACACCCCCTCCGCTCGCCCAGAGAATCCCTGAGGCTCACGCAGGCATTAGGGAACTTTCATCTTCTCTTTCTCTCACACTGGCTCTCACACACACACACACACACACACACACACACACACCTGTCCTCATCTCAATAACGTCGCAGATCAAGCCCTCGGGCTCCACGCTCCCTCCCTTCCCTGGCACCCACGCCCCCTGTCCCGCCCCCGCCGGCCGCACTCCGGGACCCCGGGAGGAGGGCGAGGAGGGCGAGGAGGGCGAGGAGGGCGAGGAGGGCGAGGAGGGCGAGGAGGGCGAGGAGGGCGAGGAGGGCGAACGCTTCTGTCCCCGCCGGCTCGCCGTCCCTCGCCCCCGCCCCGGCAGCGAGCCCGCCCCCTGCCCGAGCGTTACCTGCCAACAGGTTCCTAATCTCCTCAGGGAGGGAGTAGGGAGAGGAGGCGCTGCTGGGGTTGGGCATGTCAGCGAGCGCCGGGCATGCGGGGAGAGGACCTGTGCTCTGAACCTGACTGACGGCTGCGACCTACACTCGGGCAAGCAGTCCCGGGCAGGACGGCGGAGTTCCGAGTCCGGACCCCGCCAGGCCTGGGCTCGCGACAAGGAAGTCCCTGAACCTCCAGCCGGCCGCAGCTGGACGCCCGGCTCGGCCCCGCCCGGAAGGCCGGGGCGGGGCGATGGGCGGAGGGGGAAGGAGGCGCGCCGGGCCTGGGCCATCCAACTGCGCATGTGCACCCGCGGGAGTTCCAGGCCGGCAGAGAAAGAGCCCTTGGGGCAGGCCACGCCCACGGTTGCGTAGGAAAGCGGGAGGAGGAGCGAATGGTGGGAAGGGGGCGGGCTAGGGCTGCGTCACCTGATGCGTAGTCTGAAGCGCCTTGTCACCATTTTGGATTCTGGCACTAGCATTTCTCTAGGATTCCAGAAAAGAATGTATCTCAGTGGCCTGTGAATTTTCCGGTTAAGGGGTCTTCTGCTCATGGCCAGCCACGCGGAGGCTTAACACGTTTCCTGGTAACACGGAAGGAATTTCCAACCGCTCTAAACAATCAAGCCCTCCTTTGTCCTACTGCATGAAGGTAACGGAGTCCCATCTTCCGCCAGTCGTCCATGAGCCGCCAGTCTGGGGCTACCCCGGAAAGCATTCTGATTGGCTCTTACGTTACTTTTCTACAAAATTCCTATTCTTGGAGTGACTGGTTTTCTCCCACTCCGAAAAGATGAGTTATTCTAGCCACTATTCTGTGGGAGCGGGGGGAGGGAGAAGACGGAGTTAAGTAACCGTAGATACAGTGTTTAGCTGCAAGCATCAAAAATCACTGTGATGGTAAGTATAATAAAATCATGTAATCAGTGCTATCTTATCCCTAAATGTTCTTAGGGGTTTTCTCTAACCTCCAAACATGACAGGTCTCGGCTGCCCCTTCACAGTTAACATCACTAAAACCCTAGTTAGTGTGTAACCCTGCCTGTCATCAAGAAAAATGAATACATCAGAACATTGAAGCCTCTCAAGAATACAGAATAGAAACAGATGCTATCGCTGGACAGGAACTGCCTGGGCAAAGTGTTCCATGAGTAACCATTGTGGTAGTACTCTGTCTAAAATCAAGCTCAGGCAGAGCCTCCCCCAGGATGCCCCCCGCCCCATGACCATCTGTCTCTGCATGATAGGGCACAGCAAAGCCACACAAAAGTGTTGGTTCCTCTCTTTAAAGCCTTTACTTAATTCCCTTGGAAGAGATGGCAGCTCCTTCCCAAATGCATGGCTGGTCCCTAGACTTAAACTTGAATTTGCATTAGAACCACAGAGAGACTGTATCACATTGTAGATTCTCCCATCTCAACTCTACAGGTTTTGATTCAGTCTTTTTTGAGTGTGGGGCTTGAGAACTGGCATGGTAGACAGCCCCCACGTGTGGATGCAGGACTCTGCGATTTTATCTGGAGAAACATTTCACTACTTCCTACATCCTAAAGGGCACAAAATTAGCCATAACTCATCTTTCATATCCAGTTGGAATTCTAAATCTAATGTAGAATGATGGCCTTGTTAATAACTCGTGAAAAAACTAAAAACTAGTCAAAGATTGAATGCAGTGTAACATATTTGTCTAATTCTCTTAAATAGCATGAAGGCCCAGCACGATGGCTCGAATGGCTAATACACTCCTTGAAAGTGCCAGGATACCATATGGGTGCTGGGTCATTTCCCGACTGCTCCACTTCCCATCCAACTTTCTGTTTAGGGCCTAAGAAAACAGCAGAGGATGGCCAAAGCTTTGGAACCCTGCACCCATGTGGAAGACTCTGAAGAAGCTCCTGCCTTCGGATCGGCTCAGCTCTGGCCACTGGGGCCACATAGAGAATTAATTATCAGATGGAAGATCTTTCTGTAAATCTGCCTTTTCAAGAAAAATAAATAAATCTTTAAAAAAGAGCATGAAACACTAATTGCTAAAGAAACAACACGTTTCAAAATCCACATATTGCAAAAAAGACAGGCTGTGTGATTGAAGTAAGACACGAGAAACAATAACAAAAACACACCCAAACACACCCAAACACACCTATTCCCAAACTAGAACCTGAAATTCTTACCCAGATTCAGAAGTGTGATGAATGATAGAAAGTGTGCTAAGAATTAGAATTTTTTGATAGAGTCATTTTCTAAAATAGGACTTCCAACTTCAAACAAACTAACACCAACTACTCTTACACTACAGAATTATCCTCCTATCTAAAGAAGAAACTGTCCCTTGGATATTTTATAAGAGTGAGCATTCTTTCTCCTTTTGTAGTTACCTCACATAATTTTTAGTCTTGTCGCATTTTTCATTAAACCAGGCCTCCAAATGTCCCAATCCTTTTTGTCTCTGACAAAACTGACCATCTTTTTTTTTTTTAAGTAAAATTCTTGTGTCTCATTCATTTATTTATACGCCACTCATTCCACAAAGGAATTGAGATGATTTATTCATATCAAACAGAGAGCTTTCTGGAGAGGCTCAAATGGACAATGTCTATTCTGCTCATCAGGACAAGTCATTCTTGTTAGTGAGACACAGGAAACTATTAAGATTGCTTTAAAACATATAGGATCTATTAGTCTGAAATTTTTAAAAAAAAAAGCAATAAGAGAAAATGGACTTTTATATGAAACACATTTCCCCCATTTAGAAAACCATTCTCGGACACAGGTCCGTGATGGATTCACTTGGGTAAAGCTTTGTATACTCTATCATTTTTACTGTTTACAGTTAAAGTTCCTAGAACTGATCATGAGAGGAATAAAGAAAGACTAAAAGAAATATATTCTTATTTCTCTTATTTCCATAACAACAACTAAGAAGGAAATTAAATCACATTTGACATTCTTTAAGCTATTCATATTAGGCAAGAAATGATAATAGACGGAACTTTAAATTTCAACTTGAAAGAAGTAGTGGCCTTCCTCCCATTCTTTAAAAATGGAGGCTGCACTCTGAGAATTTGTCCTCTCAAAAGTAGACTTTCTAGTTCAGAGAAAATGCAAAATATCCCTGTAACTGAAGCTAACCCCCTTCTTCATGTCCTTCAGGATTAGTTGAGGAGTGCTGAGTAAGTATTGGCCCACAGGCTTAGGTTTAAAGGGACCTAGATGATCGCTGAAGAGGGCAGACAGTGAGCCAAAACACACTCAATCTTCTCTTGCCTTCATTTTTGTTTGGTTTTTCTGAGGCATGTGGAGAAAAAACAATATTTCTCCTGAGGTATTATATTAGTTATCTATTGCTGCATAACAAAATATAGCAGCTTTCAAATGCAGTATCCCCCCAGTTTCTAATGGCAAGAAATGCATGAACATCTTAGCCAAATCATTCTGCCTCATCTCTCATGAGGCTGCAGGCCACAGGATGGCTCCAGTCACAGGTGGAGGGTCAGTTTTGAAGATCGTTCACCTAGAAGACGTGGAGTTCTCCACTCCTCTTCGGCTGTTAGGGAAAGCTCGATCTTCCCATCACACCATGAGAATGTCCTCAACATCACTGGTTTCCCCCAGAGCAAGTGATGCTAGAGCTAGAGTAACCAATAAAGTTTTGTACCATAAAAAGTAAATAATAGGTGAAATAAGAAGCAATTGTAACTGCATTTATTTTGCAGTTTCAGCTTTTTTTTTTTTTTTAAAGGTAAGCAGAAACAGAGAAAGTGCCCATATACTGACTCACTGCCCAGATGCCACGACGACTAACATGGGTCTCCGTCAGAATGACCCTGGGAGTCAAGAACTCAATCCAGATGTACGTCCCAGGTGGGTGGCAGGGACTCCATCACTCAGCCAGCATCTGCAATCCCAATATCTGTTAACAGGAAGCACGAGTCAAAACCAGAACGGGGACCCAGGCAACACAGCATGGGATAAGGGTATTGGAGCTACTTGGCCAAATGCTTGCCCCTCTTAGTATTGCTTTAGTCTGTTGTCCTTCAAGTCGTCTGATAAGGGCCTTTTTAAGAGCCCTTCGAGGGCCTGGCATGGTAGCCTAGTAACTAAAGTTCCCACCTTGCATGTGCAGGGATCCCAGCAGCCCTGCTTCATCCAGCTCCCTGGTTGTGGCCTGGGAAAGCAGTTGAGGATGGCCCAAAGCCTAGGGACCCTGCACCCACGTGAGAGACCTGGAAGAAGCTCCTGGCTCCTGGCTCCTGGCTCCTGGCTCCTGGCTTCGGATCAGCCAGTGCAGCCATTGGGAAATAAATCAACAGATGAATCTTCCTCTTTGTCTCTCTTCCTCTCTGTATACCTGCCTTTGCAATAAAAATAAATCTTTTTTTTTTTAAGAAGAGATCTTTGAAATACTTTTCATTTATTTCTAAACTCTTACCTATGACTCTTCTAGTGCCAGTGCTGCAAGTTTACCATTGTGTGGTCTGCAACAAGGACAAAATTACTATGCTTATTGGATTTTGTATGAAATAATTTTTCCTTAAGATGTGTGACAGAAATCCACCCAGAGCCAAGATGTTTGAGTAGATTTTAAATCATAACTATTAACTAATCTTATTACTATAATTAAGTACTAGGATTAGAAAACCCATTCTATTTTGCTCTCTGGCTCTTCTGTTTACACTCAAACAGACTCTGGCGCTTTCCTGCCCTACTCAATCTTTTATTTTTTCTTTGTAAAGCAGAGAAACAGAGAGAAATAATCCACCAACTCATGGAATTCCCGAATGCCCACAACAGCTAGGGCTGGGGCCAGGCTGAAGATAAGAGCCAGGCGTTTCAGATGGGTTTCCCCATCGAACAGGTGTACAAGCATTTGAGCCATCACTACTGCTCCCAGGAATGCATTGACAGGAATCCAGGTGGGCACAGCATAGTCAGGAACTTAACAAGCTTCCTACAGAGGGTCTAGGTGTTGCAAGGAGTAAATTGAACACAGCACCAAAAGGCTGCCACCTCTCAGTTATCTTAATGTGAGGATAAGCAATTTAATATGAACTGGACTGGAGACGTTAACAGAATGAGTTGTATGTCTGCGGTGTTCTAGAAGGTGGTGAGAGAATGTCTAGAGGGTTGGTCCCTCACCCAGGTGTCAACACCCTTTAAGTTTTCTTGCTCCAAATTCAATGTTCAAGGACCCCACCATTATAAAGTCAGCTCT